ATATATATATATATACACATTTAATATTGCAGTTTTGAAAACACGTGTTGGACAAGTGAAGTACGAGAAATGTCGAAAATCTCGGTTTAAGATTGATAATCATATTGTTACGTCTCCGTTTGTTAATTAACTTTCCGTAACTTCGTTCCGACGAAACTTTAGCGACACAAGTCCTTACTTAATAAAACTGGTTTATTCTTTCCGAATACAACTTTACAAACGTTCGTTGTTATAGCGTTTGTTTTAGCGCGATTGTTGAAAATAAGTGTACTTGCCACTGTTGTTGACTCTCTTCTTGTTTCTTTTTCTTTTTCCTCCAACAACTGCTGTAATCTCTCTTCTTGTTTATGTTGCGTCAGCAAGTCATGTGACTGGTGTGGCGCTCCTATTTTCTAGAACTATCATGTACCTTGGCGATTGCTCTAGTATTTACTAGATATAGGGTAGTCTGGTATATAAAAGAGGGTGACAACGTGACGGGGGAATAATGTGTGTGTAGATAGTGAGTAATTGAACTGCAGTCACAGGGTATTGTTGAAGTTAACGTTCGTTCGTTATAGTGTTTGTTTTAGCGCGAATATTGAAATTAAGTGTATCGTAAAGTTATATTCGGAAAGAATAAACCAGTTTTATTAAGTAAAGACTTGTGTCGTCAAAGTGTCGTCGGAACGAAGTTACGGAAAAATCAGTTAACAAACGGAGACGTAACATTTATTTTCTCTTTCCTCTGTTGCGTCATCGAGGTCACGTGACTGGTGTGGCGCCACCTATTTTCTAGAACTATCCTGTACCTTGGCGAATGCTCTAGTATATACTAGATATAGGGTAGCCTGGTATATAAAAGAGGGTGATAACGTGACGGGACATTAATGTGTGTGTAGATAGTGAGTAATTGAACTGCAGTCACAGGGTATTGTTGAAGTTAACTGTTGCGTCAGCGAGTCACATGACTACTGTGACCTCACGTTTCTAGAACTATCCTGTACCTTGGCGAATGCTCTAGTATTTACTAGATATAGCGGAGTCGGGTATATAAAAGAGGGTGACAACGTGACGGGGTAATGTAATGTGTGTGTGAAGATGGTGAGTAATTGAAGTGCAATCAGAAGTATTATTGAAAAACCTGCAACAGTGGCAGCTCG